ATTCGGCCATGCACAGAGAGCAAAATTTTGAGATAGTTTTTTGAGTTTAAAAGTGACAGAGCAGTCTTGACTTTCCTTCTTTGTTAAGAAAAGTTTTTATGAAAGCTTTTAGGATCTTAGAATTAGATGACAGGAAAGGTAGGTGGGTAGTCGAACAAGATTTTCATGAAAATTTTTCGGTACAATGTTACATATTTTTTTTTGCCTTTTTCTCTGGTGTCCTTGACTGAATTGTGCTCATTCTGGTATGGTTTGAAAGATCTCTTCACTCTGCATAAGTTAGCAGACAAAGTTATCCTTGACCATTAAAACTGATGATGTCACAAGTGGTAGGAGGGATCCAGATGCGCATGGGCGGCTCAGGGGCGAATGGGTTAAGATTGTCATAAAGGGGCAGAGCCAAGTGTATGCATCACAGATGTGTTCATACCAAAATGGTTCATAGTTTACGGTCTTGAAAAGGTCTTAAATTTTACTAGTTGTCTAGAAAAGTCCTTGAAATTAATTAACTACCTTGTTTATGCCATGTGCACCACTTGCAGTGAAATTAGATTATTTTGCCAAGCAAAATTTGGCTCAACCTTGGTGATCATTAAACTCACAGGTTATGTAAAAACATTTTTGTGCATGAACAATTTTTTTATTTCTGTTTCTTTTTTTCATATGCTATTTCATTGCCTCAGATGCAACTGCAAGTCATACCCAGTCATTTTGAAAAGTGTTGTTACAGAAACTACAGTAGTCTAGTATAAAATAATGTGACTGACCTTACGTGAAATGTTAAATGACTCTATTAAGTGTTCTAGGCAATAAGGCAGGGCTTCTGATATTTCGCGCGGTCGCGGTTCGCGAAATTCAGGTATTTCCGCGAAATCCCGCGAAATTCCCAAAAAAACACGAAATACTGCGAGATCCGCCAGAAATATTTCCAAATACATGTCGGCAAACCACATTTAATACTTATCTTGGCTATAAGACCTGTTCTATTCACCCCAAACGTCCAAATTTATCTTGAAACTTCGTCACTGCAACGAGTAAACAACGTCTCAAAACTACCAGGCGTTCTTAGATGAACGTTGCAAAAAACTGGGCACTAACCATAATCTTAACAGCCCTGTTTTAATAAAAAACATTAAACAATGCTGGTCATATCGACGCAAAATTGATCGATTTTAGCGAAATTTCCCAAAAAAAATCCACGAAAACGGCTGTTTTTTACTGATTGTTTCTTGGCGAAGTTTCCCCCCAAAATTTCCCGTGAAATCGGCCGATTTTTCTAAGAATTTTCCCCGAAAATCCTTCGAAATTTGACTTTTATCCACTAAAATCCCGCGAAATTGGCCGATTTTTCTAAGAATTTTGACTTTTCTCCCGCGAAAATCCTGCGAAATCGGCCGATTTTTGAGCGAATTTTGACTTTTTTCCCGCGAAATCGGCCGATTTTTCCGCGAATTTGCCCCTGAAAATCCCGCGAAATTTTGCTTTTTTTCCGCGAAATATCAGAAGCCCTGATAAGGTGTTCAAAACGGGGTTAAAGAATGTTGATTTATTGTTATGAATCTTAGTCTTTTCAAGAAAACTGCAATTTATCCTTTAAAAGTCCTTGCAATTTGTTTGCCTAAAGTTGTTAAGTATCTTCAGGACTAAAAAACTGTCCATACTGGATCATAGTTTATAAACCATCTAACTCAGTCTTCACCTTTGCAGGAGAGTTCCCCAGGCAAAGATAGTGGCAAGTCAAGCACAGAAGTC